TTATTATTATTATTATTATTATTATTATTATTATTATTATTATTATTATTATTATTGGTGTTGTTTGTTTCCTCTCGTCTCTGGACGGTTTTCAGGTCTAAACACGGAGCTCGACAGGAGCTCTGAGATATTCACACTAGCACTTTCCTTAGGATATGTGCGGTACCCAACAATGCAATCGTTTGCATTTCAGTTTCTCTGGGAGGGTCTGGTAACATTTGAAGGTAGTTGTTTAGGCCTGTTTTATTATTTATTATTATTATTATTGTCATTGTTATTATTATTATTATTATCATTATTATCTAGTTGTATCTCTAATTTTCTCTTTGTTTCACTGGCCCCCAAATGAAACCACATATATGCACACATAATAAAATTACTGATCTTTCGGCTGGCGTTATGACAAAATAGTATGAAGTTAGTTGACTCTGCACGCATTGCCGGCATCGCGGGTGTTGAAATCATGTTTCTCTATCGTTCCGTTTGAAGTGCAAATGCCATATGGAGAAACCAGTTATGTGTGAAATATGCCTAACAGTATAGCCAGGGGCGTGTAAATTACAAACAACGTTTTGACCGGTCGTCTGTTTTGGCTACCTCAATGGTCTTTCACAAAGTACAATCTATGATGCTTATTTTTGTATAAATGTTTTTATTTGGTGGCCTGTGAAACGTATGGAGATGAATAAATCTCCACTTTAGTCCATGTTTCTACTATACTCCCGAATTTTCAGCTGGCCCGTTATGCCTTGCCAAACACAAAGAAGGTCTAGACAGGCGTCTAGATGATGACTTCGAATCATTCAAGAAATTTAATCGCTCGTTGGTAGTGACCTGTCAATCTGGAGACCATGGGATACTGGAAGTCACTCCCAATTCATCGTGGCCTGATGTTATTTATTATAATTCATTTACTCAGGCGAACATGGGCTGGAAAATACATGTTGTGGATAGTTTCAATCAAAGAGTTTATTCTAGCGCAAATAAAGCGGTAGCTCCTTTACTATTTATATCATTGCCATTGATTTTTGAAGGGCTATTTGTTGTTTAAGGCGTTTAGTTCCTTACTGGTATGAAATATGTGATGTTACTTATAAATAGATATGAACAGTATCCACAATAGTACATCATGTAAGCAAATATACATTTTTAATAGAATCTGGCTTGCATTATTTTTCGATGTCCATTTCCCATAGTTGGCGTGTACAATGGATTCGAATATCGTAATACAGGCTGAATAGAATCTGTTTAGTGTCTGTCTCCCTAACCATAACCAACTGTAACAGTATTCTTTCATGCTTCTTAGCAATCATCAGTATGGCATAGGTCTAGTCATTGGAGGCATATACGGAAAACAAACAAGCCCTAGGTGGTACAATACTGTTTTTCACTAGACCTATTTTGGCTTGTTTACTTTCCGTTGACTGTCTCCAATGACTAGAATTTTATCATTAAGATCATGGCTAAAAAGCATGAAACGGCACTGTATATGGATGGTTATTATCTCAGAGACGGAAGCAGATCCTGTTCAACCTGCGTTTAGTTTATGCAACACTTGCATCTCAACTAGCAAATATATTTTATAATTTTCGATTGTCCGTGCTAATTTATTTCATTATTGCTCTATTACTGCTCCTAGGATGCAATTGTGTTTTACTATAATTATCAGTAACAGAATTAAGCTTTTAAGAAGTTTTTTGATTTATAAGATAGTCGTAAGATTGTTCGTAGAGCAAGAATACAAAACCACTTTAGGACAAATTTAAATAATGCTTTATGAACGTTTACACAACAATTTTATACGACATTTAAGCTTACGGAACACATTTTTTTGTATGAGATTTACACTCGTACTATCCGATACGAGTTTATTGGTTTGCTAACATCTATAAAATTGTTTTATTAGCACTCTGTAGTACCATTATAAAATAAATTTGTTTATTTATTAATATATTCTTTCTTATATTGTCGCTCACTAAAGCATATTGCAATCCCGACTTCGCAACTAGGAAATATATTTTACAATTTTCAACTGTCCGAGGTCGGTTAAGACAAGAATGTGGATTTCAATGCTTAACCATACCCCGATTTAAAATTAAACAAATTTAAAGACGTTCCAGGATTATTCGGAAAAATGAATGCCTTATTCTTTTTTGTAAATGTATTATATTATTTATTATAGTTATATGATATTTTTTAAGGCTCTGTCTGAATGCAATGTGCATTAGCGGGCGATAATATCAGAAAAAAAATATTAATAAATACATTTTTATAAATGTTTCACATGCCAAACAATTTCAGTGATGTTCGCAAACGAATAAACTCATATAAGATAATTCCAGTATAAATCTATTATGAAACATATCTGTCCAGTAATCTTAAATACCGTATAAAATTGTTGTATAAACATGTATATGGCAATATTAAAATTTGTCGTAAAACTGTTTTGTATTTTTGTTCTCGGAACGTCCTTACGACTACCTTGTAAGGCAGAATACTTCTTAAAAGCTTAATTGTCTTACTGGCAATTGTATTAAAATAAAATTGCGTTTTAAGAGCAGTAATAAAACAATTATAATATAAAATAGCACATACTGTTGAAAATTATAAAATATCTTTAATAGTTTCCAACAAGCATTGAAATCCACATGTTTGTCTTAATGTATGTACCTTTTTCAGCGGATACCTCTTGGTATCTTTAGCAATGCTAATGCATCGAATTTGTAGCACACTGTATACATGTATGGATGGATTTGTTTACACTAACCCTTTTTTACATCTCTGTTTAATTCAAAAAAGTACTTAAATTAAATATTTTACTTAAATATCTTAAAAAGCAAAAACGTTTTATAAGAACTCTCAAGGTGGTAAAAGTGTTTTATAATATATAATATAGAAGCCACATTTTGTGTTGTTTCAACTTCAAATTTAAGTGTATTAAAAAATTTTCAATGGATAAAATGTCTTAATTTACTACTTAAGTAATTATATAATGGTATAAAATGGTTTACTTGAATTATTTTATTACAATACAGGCCAGAATAAGAAAAAATAGAGAATGGAAATTTTGACCTTATCTCTTAAAATTTAATAATAACTAATACACTTAAGGCCCTCGAAAATTTTGCTACATTATCCAGTGTTGAAGTGTTGGTATATATCAGAACTAAATGCAACATTGGCTGATGTACATACTCAAACATATTTTATTTACTGAAATAATAATAATAACCAATATTTTAAGACATGCATATGGGTTTGAAAGGGTTTATCAACTGTTCAAACACGAGATATAGATCTGGTACAAATTCTGGGTAAATCATTCGATTCTGTCCGTATTTCATTGAGATTTGTCAAATTGTTGTATAACACTTGAGGACAACACCAAAATATTCTAATAAACCAAAGACAACATGGACGATGCCATGATTATACATAACCACCCGCCATATTGGGCAAAAATATATTCCTTTATTGAAAATTAATTAATCATGTTTCAGTTCGACATTACAGATATAAAGTGATAGACATTAGTGTAATTGTGTCTAAATATTGGATTTGTGGAAGATTTAATGAGGATAAGTTCAGTTTTTCATCTTAAAAATCTAAACATACTTTTGATCATTATTAAAATATGAATCAAATACGAAGCCCGTACAAATTGCACGATAATCATAATAAAATTTGCTGCGCAAGTAATTCAATAGCCCTATATCACAGTAGAATTTTATCATATACCTGTGTATGAAATTCACAATGGCCGATATGTAAGTAAACAAGATGACTGTAATGTGTTAGTTATATATTCTTCACTTCGGGTATACAATATATAAGAAATAGTTTGGTTGCAATAAAGTAGAATCATGTACCAGAATAGTTGTATAGTTGACAAAAACTGAATCTTGGACTGACGCAAAAATGTTCTATAGCGGCTGCAAGAGGTTTACACTTTTGTTGTATAACTGTTACCTGCAGCCCTTATACATCCTCTTAAATGATTGAAGTGTCCTATTAGGTGTGCCCATTCCGCTTGTATAGCTGTTCTAAGAGCGTTTTGCCAATGTTCTTACAGGATACAATGCTGTGTAAGGAAGACTGTATAATCATTCTTGCAACTCTAATAGGCGTGATAATTGTTAGTTGGGATAAGAATTACTTAGACATAAATAGTGGTGTACATAGATGTTCCATCTAGTCAAGATAAATAAATTAGTGCATTTCTTTTTGAGGAAGCCAGTGTTTTAATCTACCCCCAAAAGAACCCAGAAAAACGCTTCATTGGTGTCAGGTGTGGGGTGTGGATTATTGGACATTTAGTGAAAATAAATCGGACGCTCAGTGAAGGAAGAATGGCGCGATTGGTTGATTTGAAAATTGCCGATTTAAAGAGAGAGCTTGAGGAAAGGGAGTGCGACACGGCTGGGAAGAAAACAGAATTACAGGAGCGGCTTCGTCAAGCACTGATTGAGGACGGCGAGGGACCCGGATAATTTCATTTTTGGCGATGCAGAGGATATTGGTTTAATGCTGCAAAATCTTTCGACCAAGTTAGAAAGCAAGCTCATGGAAAATTGTGCCGATCTTTTAGAAAACTCGACCAAGTTAGAAAAAAGGCTCGTGGAAAATTGTGCCAACCTAGAAGGAAAGATCAAGGAAAATTGTGCCGATCTCTCAGAAAACTCAGTCAAGCTAGAAAATAGGCTCGTGTATAATTGTGCCAACTTAGAAGGAAAGCTCGTGGAGTCATACGAAAGTACAGCCAAATTAGAAGAGAAGCTGTTGCAAAATACTGCCAATTTAAAAAAAGAATTGGAAGATAAAATATGGAAAAATCTTGCGAATTGGAACAACGGATTTTTACTCTGGAGGACAGAATTCAAGAAGTGCAACGCAAGTTTGTTTCTTTAGACACCAAGACCACCGACGAACGACAGCGTGGACTTCCGTTGGAAAAATCAAGTAAGGTTGGAGCTTCTGTTGGGTGAGCTGGTCATCTACGAATGAAACCGCCACGATTTGATGGTGCAACGCCTTGGAATGCCTACCGACGTCAGTTTGAGGCAGCCGCGATTGCAAATGGTTGGTCATCGACCGAAAAGGCAACTGCACTCACTTTGGCCCTACGAGGAGATGCTACAGCTATTCTTCAAAGAAAATCACTCGAAGAGCAAGAGGTCTACGAACAACTAGTAGGAAATTTGGCGATGCGATATGGCCAGTCTCATTTAGAACATGTCTGTCATACTCAACTAAAGAATCGGTCCCAGAAGCCAGGCGAGTCCTTGCAGGAGTTCGAACCGCATATTGCGCGGTTGGTACGATTAGCATATCCCGATGTCCAGGAAAGGATAATGGAGCGATTGGCAGTCCAAGCATTCCTGTATGGACTTCGTGATGGTGAAATGAGACAAGCCTTACTACTAGCACATCCACCTAAGCTAGTAGATGCGCTAACTTGGGCCTTAGAATTCGAAGTCGCTAAAAACCAGGTCGGAGTCCGCCAGATGGTACTTGGAGATAATGAGTTCGACGAGTCAGTCGAGCGCATTTTTAAGGAACTTGATGGTGATCGTCGCCGCCAGAACAGCAAGTTGGAATGTTGGAAATGTGGCAAAATAGGGCACATTAGAAGACGCTGTTTAGAGGATGGTAAGCATTTCCAGCGGGCACAGGAGAAAGATGCCGAAGTATAAAGAACCAGTATCGCTAGTGATACTTTGCAAAAGGAAGACCTCATTATAGATAAAGAGGGCGTCCCCGACCTCCAAATAATTCTGAACTGGATGGAAGAACAACATAAACCAGCCCGGGAGGAAGATGCCAATTATTCCCCTACCATAAAATCATATTGGGCACAATGGAATTCTCTCGTTATGGACGACGGACTCTTGCTGCGTAAAATGGTGGACCACGACGGCAAAGAGGAAAGAAGACATATCGTTATCCTCAGATGTCGGATCCCGGAGCTGCTAGAAGAAATCCATTCCGGTGTGTCAGTAGGTCATCTCGGAGTTACGAAAACCCTGGGAAAATAGAGGGAAAGACTTTACTGGGTCAGTAGTAAGGAGGACGTAAAAGACTGGTGCAGAAAATACGTTGTATGTGTGGCAAGTATTGGACCGCAGAGGAAACCAAAAGCTTCGATGCGCCAATACAACGTTGGGAGTCCCCTTCCAGAAAGTGAAGCAGGGAATAAATACATCATTGTGGTAATGGATTACTTCAGCAAGTGGGTTGGGGCATACGCTCTGCCAAATCAGGAAGCCTCTACGGTAGCTGATGCTTTAGCAAAGGAATGGATCTGTCGATTTGGCGCCCTTTTAGAGTTGCATTCGGACCAAGGGCGCAATTTCGAGTCAAATCTGTTCCAAAGTATCTGTCAAATCTTTGGGATTAAGAAGACCAGGACTACTGTCTTACACCCGCAGTTAAATGGAATGGTGGAGCGCATGAATAGGACCATTAACCGGTATCTGGCTACGGTAGTCTCTAGCCATCAAAGAGACCTCTTCTTATGGGCTTACCGATCGTCGATTCATGAGAGCACAGGAGAGACCCTGGCTCGAATAGTTATGGGAAGAGAACTTCGTCTCCCATGCGATCTAAAGTTTGGCTGTCCACCAGAGACTGCTATTGCCTGAGAAGACTAGGTAAGTGAGCTGCGTAGAAGAATGGGGGCCATCCATAGCAAGGTTCGTGTTTCAATTCAAGGTGCCAGCGACTGGATTAAGGAAGCTTATGAAGTTAATGCCAAAGACCAGAGGTATGACAAACGGTGATACGGTTTGACATTACGACCCAAAGAGGAAAAAAGGGCTGTTATCTAAACTTTAATCATCCTGGGACAAATCCAACCAGAACCGGACATGACATTTGACCAATTTATGGCTCACCATGCTAAGGGCCATAAGAGTCGGTATGGCGTGACATGTGAAGTCCAGCAAGATCTGTTTACCACTTCACCAGAGTATGCCCTTTCACACTGTGTGGCTCAAGACTTGCGAATGTCGAGAGGTATATATAGCAAAGGTCTTTCTTAGGAAGTTTGGAAGAGTGCACTAGCTGCGACAATCTAACCCGGAAGTCGGAGAAGTACTCCAGACAACTGAAGAGGGTACCAACCGGAAGATCTTCTATCTGGTTACCAAGAAAGCTTCGTATCAGAAACCGAATTACGAGGATGTCTGGAACGCTTTGTGTTCTCTTAGAGAAGTGTTGCTTGCCGAGGACCTGAGAAAACTGGCAATACCTAAGCTGGCATGTGGACTGGACAACCTGGACTGGAGAATCATCCGAAGCATGCTTGAGGTAGTGTTCCGGTATACAGGCATTCGATTTCTGGTATGATCTCACAGACCTAGACGGCTACCTCCTGGAAAAAGTGTGGATTGTTACTTCTTCAAGAACTCCTACTGCAAGAGAGCGCCGTCGTGCCGATATCGACATCCATCGCCAGATTTTTCATTCCAGGACGGAATGATTTTAGAGAGAGTTCAGTGTGTCGATAACAAAAAGTACTGCTTGTGCCATCTACTGGGAGACTCTCCTACTCGCCAGAGCTTTATGGCCGATCTGCTTTTACGCGGACCACGACCGCACAACCGCTTGGCGACATCTGTTGAGGACCGTACCAGTGACTCGCCTCCTAGATCGACGCGAAGTGACCTGGAACCTTCTAGATGCTGCTTTGTGGCTGGCTCGCCAAACCTTTCTCGAAGTAGCGATGGGGACTATATACATATAATTCGGCGGCCGGGAGATGGAAGGAGAGTACGGAGTACAGTAGAGTAGAGCAGAGTGGAGTATAGTGCAGTCAATGGCGCGACATAGGAATTAATTAGACATAAATAGTGGTGTATATAAATGTTCTATCTAGTCAAGATAAATAAATTAGTGCATTTCTTTTTGAGAATTACAATCCTGTCTGCCACGTAAAGAAATTTTTGTAATAAATTTTGAACGAAATTTGTCACGTCAAAGTCATTTTAACCACACCTTTAGTTGCGGTTTGATACTATATTCCGTTATTTACACGAACAGAAAATGGAGCGATCCAGTATCAAGTTTGTTAAAATTGACTAATCGGTTTCGAAAATACAGGGTGTTTTTATGGAAGCCTTTGAATACCCCCCCACCGACTTTATTTTTAGAGATACAGCAAAAACTGTAAAACAAAAAAGTTCACGTTATCGTCGACTTTAAAAATCAGGTAGATTTTTGTTAGGTTAACATAGCGCAATTCACTGAAACAGCACCTTTTAGATTCAAGATTGCAGTTACGCCCTCTACGGGCCATTTCAGAAACTTGAAAGTATCTTCCCTTTTTCTCTTTTCCGTTTCAGTAATAATAGTTTTTGCCACAAGCCGCTGCGATGGATAGGTTCCCAGATACAGTACTTCGCATTCTTAGCTGGCCACCCTGTACAACTAAGAAAATTTGAAGGAAATTAACTAATTTCAAAGCCTTGAAGCTTACCTAAAATTTGTCCCAAGAGAATGAACAGAATTTGTATTTCTTTAAAGGTTTGATCGCAAATCCCTCCAAAAAAGTACCAGTCTTGGAAAACAAAAAAAAGCCGGAGCTTCCGGATGTTGTAGTACCTACCGACGGTAATTTCGTAGCAAAAATTTAACCAAGAACGGTTGTTGAGATAACCAAGTAATAGCACATTTGTAAACTTATTTAGAAGTAATGTAGTACGTATATTTTGTCACCAATTATGAGATTTGAAAAAAGAAATAACTGATGCGTAACGAGATTAAATGGTCTAACTGGAGAGAAAATGTTCATTCATGCAGAAATGATTTTAGGTATTGTGGGAGTTTTTATCACAGTTTCAACAGAAAGCTCAAATGCACATTTTCTTTTACCGCAGCTATATATACATCGTTCTCAATCCATTTTGCTCTCGTTTCAATTGTAGTGTTATAAGAGAAAGTTACCAGAAATAATGCAGGTGCGCTTACGATATGATGGGGCTTTATGATATGTAGTTCTAAGTGAATCTTATTTTTCAGATGTATTATCCAAGCATAATTTTCTCTTGTATGGTTCTGATGGTACTGGGTTTTCCGCAAGACAGTGATGACTATGAACTAGCTGCGTCTCAAGGTAAGTCAATCTATATCTACAGTGGGTCAAAAAAGTATTTTTTCTTGGTTAATTTTTTGTTACAACGAGGGTCTTTTTTTTCAACCTCCGATCTCACGGCATGACGGCCAGTCAAGTGGCAGGTCGGTGGTGTGTGCAGTGGTCTATCGTGCATCCTCTTCACGATATCATTGCTCACGGCCGAAACATGGCTGCCTCTATTGATTCTCCCGCTAAGTGTCAATTGAAGAGTGTTATTCGTTTCTTGCAAGCAGAAGGGAATAGTGCAGCAGAAATCCTTAGGATAATGTGCCGTGTGTACAATAAGTACGAGTACTTATTTTGAACCTACGGTTTTCTCTAACCACTTTGTCCACTCGTTCAACAAGGTCGTCTGACTTGCGTCCTTGATCTCCTTCATCGTGCATGGCAGGTCGGCCATCTTTAAACTTTCGACACCATTCTCGCACGACATCATCACTCATAAAGTTTTCTTCGTACACACGGCACATTCCCCTATGGATTTCTACTGCACTATTCCCTTCTGCTTGCAGGAAACGAATAACACTCCTCAATTTACATTTAGCGGGAGAATCAATAGATGCGGCCATTTTTATGTGAATGCTGCTCAGCTCAGCACAAACTGGCTACCTTGAACTCGACCGTGAGCAATGATGTGGTAAAGAGGATGCGCGATAGACTACTGCACACACCACCGACCTGCCACTTATCAGGCCGTCATGCCGTGAGATCGGAGGTTGAAAAAAAAACGACCCTCGTACATTTATTTGAAAAACTAACCTCCAAATGGTGATTTTTATGGCAATAAATTGAGCAAATCAAAAGCAATATAAGAATAATTTTATTAGTTATGAAATTCAAGGGTCAAATAAGTACTGGCGCACTAAAAAAAAAAAAACAAATAAATAAGTTTCAACAACATTTATTTTCAAGCTGAGAAAAAAATTAACCAAACTAATTAGAATGTTAATTAAATCTATTAAAAAATTTAATTAGCCATGTGACAGTTAAAAAGTTTAATCAGTTTAATTGAACTCCGATGTCTAAATTAGCTTACTTGAATCTATGAAGCTAGTTTAATTGAATCAAAACACAGTCGCTTAATTAAATGTGTTAAACCGTGCTAAGTAGATAGAATACAACAATTTATTTAAAATTATTATTATTATACATGAAAGAAGAGTTGAGCAAAGCTATAAACTCTGAATAAAGATAAGAAATTAAGCATAGAAGAAATAAAGTATCTACAGATCAAAAGCAAACTAGAGATCGTCGCGCACGCATCTGTCGAAATGATTCTTGAACCCGTTAACTATGGATACATTAACAACGTCGTAGGGCAGCCTGTTCCAGATATCAAACACTCGGTTAGACAGGAAAAATTGGCGGAGTGTAGTTCTAAACTTCTATTTCATTAGTTTGTAGTTGTGGCCTCTCAGGTGGTTGGCATTGCAACAGAAAAGTGAGGATATGTCAGTACCGAAGAAACCATGCAAAACTATGTATGTGACTCTATCAAGTCTCCTCGTAAGCGTCTATCGGAGAAGTGAGTTAAGCTGAATAGGTCCAGCCTTTGTTCATAACAAGGCCGTTGGATACTATACGGGATGCGTGTGACCCTCCTCTGAATATTTGTCAGCAGGTCTCGGTCACGTTGTAGCGTTGGATACCAAACAGTTCCAACAAATTCCATAATTGGTCTCACATATGACGTATTCAGAAGCCCAGCAGTAGAATTGTCACACCTCTTAAAGGATCTTTAAATAAGGTCTTCTCCTTTTGGCCTTAGTAATTGAGTACTGGATATGCTCGGAACACGATAGACTCAGATACAATCTCCTAAATCTATGTGACTGGAGACAGAGGAGATCTCCTGGTTCCCGATGATATAGCTGATCTTAGGAATGTTCTTTCCAACGTTTAGAATACAGCACTTCTCCAAGTTGAGGGGCAGCTGCCATCTTCTGAACAATTCGTAAACATTGTCAAGGTCGCGTTGAAGGATTTGATTATAGGCATTGGGGATATAGTATATCTTTGTGTCGTCAGCATATAAGGAGTAGGTGGAAGATATGACACAAGGCTGGTCCGATGTGTATAGGAGAGACAGCAAAGGTCGCAAGACCGAAACCTGGGGAACACCGCTAGTCACCATCCTACTGGTTAATAGTGAATCGCCTACCCTCACCTTGAACTCTCTGTTACTAAAGAAAGCCCTTACCATTTCAACAAGTTTCCAGTTATTCCCAGGCGTTCCAGCTTATAGAGAAGGTCCGCGTGGGGTACTCGATCGAACGCTCTTGAAAAATCCAGTCATGTTGATATTTATCGTATTAGTCCAGTCGTTGACACATTTGAGCAGGTTTGTGATGATAGAGCGACCTGGAAAGAAACCATTGGCTGGTAGGATATTGTTTTCCGTAGCAAACTTGAGCATTTCATCAAGTATGATTTTTTCGGCTACTTTAGCAATTATGAGGTGAGACTGATGGGACGATAGTTTTTTTCCATGGTACTAATCACCTTTCTTGAAAATTGGCATAACTCTTGCTTTAAGCCAGCATTGAGGTAGTGAATGAGTATTGAATGAGGAGGAAAATATTAAACTTAAAAGTGAGGCAAGAGTAGAGGCACACCTTTGCTGAAATACTGTCACCGCCTGGTGCAATACAGCAGTCCAGGGTGATGAGATGATCTTGAGTCACGTCAGGAGTCAACTCAATTCGACATAGGTTGATATGTGGTCTCGGATAGGTATTAGAAGGTGTACCAGCACTGTCCAGAGAAAAGTCCTCAGCGAAAGCATTTGACAATACTTCTGCTGATGACGCATCGTCCCTGTAGATGTGATCATCTAGGTCGCGCACCTTGGGTGTACAAACTTTTGAGTTTAGTAAAGATCGAATATATCTGAATAGCTTTTTCTGTTTTTAGATGGTACCAGCTTATTTTAAAATTGGCGTTTAACAGCTTTCAGTGTCTTCGAAAGTCTTTTTTGCCGTAGATATTTCTGCCATAACGATTTTTCACGACGTATCATCTTAAGGATATCCTGATCAATCCTCGGTATGAGGGGGTTGTCCCGGGTCGTATGATAAGTTGAATGTTTTGCGAGCAGTCCCTGAAGACTTTAATGAAATATATCCTACATGGCTTCAGTCCATTGAATAAAGAACTCCAGCTTGTGCCAGAGACGTCTGCATTCAGCTGAGTATAGTTGATACATCTGATTATCTTCTGGATTTTGCTGTTCTGCTTAGAGTAGTTGAAGTGAAGGTTGGAATTTATAGTAAGATGATCAGATCTTACAAACGGAGGGAAGTATTAAATAGTTGACACAAAGTCAGCAGCATTAACAAATATGAGGTCAAGGGTTCTTGGTATCTGATCATTTCTGTAGCGTTTAGGACAATCTACAAGCTGGGTAATGTTTGAGTTACGCAAGAGGTTTAAAAAAGTGGCAGATGTAGAATTTGTGGTAGGTATGCTCGTCAAAGGCCAGGAAACCTTTCGAAGATTAAAACCACCGGTTATGTACAAGTTGTTTGTTTGCGTGGTGGGATATGCGATGTAACTGCACAATTCTCTGCAGTCAGCAACAGATGGACGTGGTCTGTAAATGCAGCCCATAATTAAGTTGGACGTGTCATTCTCAATTTTGAGGAATAAGTTGTCAATACCATGAAGATGTGCAGAAAACTCACTAACTGAGAAACTTTACATATCGATTTATCTTGCCATGAACAGCAAGTGATAAAATGGTACGGTTTTTCTGTTGTTTTTGTGGTGGCTGCGTGGATTGTTTGGTGATAAAGAAGCATTAAGTTTTCGTACATTTACGGTGTCAGTTAAATGTTAAATTTCGTGTATCTTATTGAGAAGCCTTTTTGTGATTGCTCAAAAAGCCTAGAGGGCCTAGAGAATTCGCCGGGTGTCCCAGCTAAGTGACTTTAAGAGGGGTTGAATTATCAGGTTGCGTGAAGCCGGTATATTGATTCAGAGGGATCACTGAGCGACACAACCGCCGCTTGAGACTTCTGGCTCTGAGACAAGACTCAGTAGTATTCGAGAGATCGCTAATCAGTGGTTTGAAGAGCATGGAAGGATGGTGGCTATGCGTACGGTGTATCGCCAAATACGACAGTGCGGCCTTTAGTACAGACAGTCCTATTAACCAAATATCCAGCATATCTGAGCAGCAAACTTTCATTCAGAAGTCAGCATCACTCAGCGAACTTACGCTTTGTAGGTTATACCCTCGATATGCCCCCCATAAATCAACACAATTCACAAAGTGCTTCTCATACATAGCGCCTTCCCTTTATAATTGTCTATCATCAGATCTGAAAAGTTTGAGTAACAATAATTTTAAAGTTAAAATAAAGCAATTTGTTCTCGATAATACCTAATAATATACTAAGCTTTCATCTTGTAACTGCTGTGATTCTACATTAAGTGTCTGGTTGTGTTTGACTTATGTACATTTAACTTTATCATCTACTGATCTTTAACTGAATGCCTCTTACTTGTGATTACATAGCTAAATGGTACTTATTTCTTGTTCTTTTTTATGTTTTTTATTTATTTCCTTTTTTTCATTATTTCTGTTTCAGTGAGTGAGTGAGTGTATCTGATTTAAATCTGTCTACACATTTTACACACTATTATGTTGTATTTATCACTTCTCAGTACTATGTGTCTTGATCATTTTTTTTTGTATCTGTGATTTTTTTATGTTTGTTAAACCTATGCAGCCCTGGTTGGTACCAAAAGCAGCTATTAGCTGATATACCCGCCAGGTAAAATGGCATATTATTATTATTATTATTATTATTTTTATTATTATTATTATTATTATTATTATTATTATTATTATTATTATTTGTTCATTCAATCATCTTCTCTGAGAGGGTTTGATATGCTTAATCCAGGTTTGCACCAGAGGATGTAAGCATTTTGAAGGCAACTACCAATTTTGCAGGTTACAATGTTCGCCTACCAGGACCCTACGGACTGTTCTGCATGTCCCCAGTAAAGCGGCTTTCTGAATTTTTTTGTAAACATGTTTCAAGGTCTAGCTTTTCAAGACTTGTGTGTAACTTCTTAAGGACCTCACCTGTGGCGCCAATAACTATCGGTACAATCATAACTGTATTCATTCCCCACATCCGCTTTATTTCTTCTGACAGTGGTAGATACTTGTTGATTTTTTCTGAGTCGGTACTTTGAAGGTTGACAGGGAGCGGAACCGCGATATCTATAATGTATGTTATCTTTTGCTCTTTTAACGTTAGCACTATGTCAGGGATGTTATTTGTCTCTTTAACTGGGAGGGGCGTGTAGCGATAGTATGGCTCAGTAGGTCCTTCATTGAGATAGCGCTTGACCAGTTCCAAGTAGATTATTTTTGCCACGTCGTTATGTCTTTCTAGACACTGTTTTGGGGCGAGTGTGGAACAGCTTGCGATAATGTGGTCTAGGTTCTCGTCTTTATCTCCACAGATTCTACATTTGATATTGTCTATATTTTCTCCCATTATTCGCTTTCTGTAGACTTTCGTAGGCAGCACTTGGTCTTGAATAGCCATCACAAACCCCTCTGTCTCCACGAACAGATTACTGGAACGCACCCACTCTTGGGATGCTTTGGTGTCTACTGCCTGGTCTTCAATTCGCGTTCTATAGCGTCCATGTAGTGGCTTGGAATTCCACTTCTCGATCAGTTCGGGGGGCGATGACACCATCGCGGATGGATTGAGAGCTAGGTTGGCTAGGTTCAGTGGGGTAATGCCCTTATCTCTGTTGGCTAGTGCCTGATGCATTCTGCTACTTTTCGCCTTTTCCAAGAAGTATGTCCTTAGATTATCAATTTGCTGGTAATGTCTGGACACCATACTGGGGACTCCTCTTCCTCCTTCGCGCCGTGCTAAGTGGAAGCGCTCTATTGCACTTTTAGGATGATGCGCCCTATACCGACGGAATTCCTTCCTGGTACTTATATCTAGGGCTTTCAGCTCAGTATCAGTCCATTTGAGTATACCGAAGGTGTAGGTAAGCGTTGACGCTGCGTAGGCGTTCACTGCAACAGATGTATTTATAGCAGACAATTCAGATTTAAGAATGATCCTTAATCTTCTCAAGTATTCGTCGGTAGATCTTTGCTTCGACAGTTTTTGGTCTATGTCTGGTGCCTGGAGATAGCCTAAGTATTTGTAGCGTTCATCCCTTTGCATATTGATGATCTCCCCTTGCGACCCTCTTACTTTATACCCTTCATGCTCTGTCCACTTACCTTTAGCCATGCAACTTATGCGGCATTTATCTAAACCAAACGTCATTTGCACATCTTTGCTAAATCTGCCCACACAATCCAACAGCGCATGTAGGTGATCCTTCTTCTCTGCAAATAATTTCAGATCATCCATATACCAAAGATGAGATAGTTATGTACCATCCTCGGCAATCTTTATGCCTTTTTCTTGACTGTTTAACAGCGATGTTAGTGGGCGTAAACCTAGGCAAAACCATAGCGGGCTTAGAGAGTCGCCCTGAAAGATCCCTCGTTTTATACTGACTTCTCCAGCATCTATCTGCGAGTCTTGGGTGTTAAGACAGAGACGCGTTTTCCATTTGGACATTGCATAGGTCAATAGTTTCACGATATGGTTTTCTATGCCATAAAGGCGTAGCACTTCCGTTAACCATGAATGTGGAATGTGGAATACTATCAAATGCTTTCTGATAATCGATGTATGCAGTCAACAAGGGCGACTTCTTTTTTCTGGCACTACCCGTTATTATTTCATCGATTATCAGTTGTTCTTTACATCCTCTTGAGCCCTTCCGACATCCCTTCTGTTCCTCATCCAATAAGTTGTTACGTTCCAAATAGTTATGCACTTTGTCAGCCAATATAGCAGTAAGGAGTTTCTTTGTCAGCCAATATAGCAGTAAGGAGTTTATTATTATTATTATTATTATTATTATTATTATTATTATTATTATTATTATTATTATTATTATTTACTTACTTATCCGACACTAGTGCTTCTTTATCTATCATAGACCAACAGCTATCTAATATATATCTAGTAGTATTTTATTTAATAACACTATACTTTACGGAAAAGCTTGGTAGATTTAAGGAAGTTCAATGTATCACCTACGTTGGCATTAGTGGATAAACAACCTTTTAAATCAGCAGCTAGGTTGTGTGCTCTTCTAGCAGCTACGTATAATGGGCACTCGATCAGTATATTATGCAAGTAAGCAGTTCATTACACGTCCCACATCTTGGTGGTGGATTACCTAAAAGTATACGGAAATGTGTAAGAATTGTGTCACCTATTCTCATTCGCGTAATTACGACCTGTTCGCTACGAGTCAGATGGGGAAGATTTCACATCAGTGTTTGCTCCCCAACTGATGCTTGAAAGACATTTAATAATATTTAAGGCCTTTTTACTTTTAATTAGGAGTTCCTCTATATGATTCTTCTAGTATAATTTATCATCCAAGGTGATGCCTAATATGTTTATATGGTATTTGTTAGCTATTGGTGTGCTTTTCAAAGGCAGAGCTGGTTGGTCATGATGTCTCCTTAGCCTGCAAAAATGTATACATGCTGATTTCTGTGGAGAGAAGGAGAAACCCATTTTTTCAGCCTCGTAAGCTAATGTATTTATGGATGTCTGCAAAGTACCTAATATATCTTCCATTTTGTCTGCAGTAAAAAATATTGTCAAGTCATCAACGTATATACACTTTCCGACTTCTATTGGCACTTTTTCGATTAGCTTATTTATAGCCACAAGAAAAAGGGTCACGCTTAGAGTTGAACATTGGGGAATACCGTTTTCTTGTCTGTATGATGCTGAAAGTTCTTTTCTAATACGTACTTTGAAATACCTGTGTTCAAGGAAGCCTGCAATGAAACGTAGTATGTATCCTCTTATTCCCCTTTCATGCAGTGTTTTCAGTACGCCAAAGCGCCATGCAGTGTCATATGCTTTTTCAATGTCAGATGATACTGCTACTGTATTTAGCAAAGCTGTTTTGAATGGCTGCTTCGAGATAGACTAGCTGATCTGTTGTCGATCTATACCTACGAAAACCCAGTTGATATTTTGACAATAATCCATGCTTCTCTAGGCACCATATCAACCTTAAGTTTAAAATTTTTTCTGGTATGTTAGAGATATGGGGCGGTAGTTATTGTGGGATCCTTACTGTCTTTACCAGCTTTCGGGATAAGAATGATGACTGCGTTTTGCCACTGTTTTGGGTAAGTACCTTCTATCAATATTTTGTTATATAGCTCCAGTAATTTTTGTTTTTCACTTACAGGTAGGTTTTATATCATTTCATAGTATCTGGACCAGGTGAAGAGCTTTTGACCTCAGCGAGTGCGTACTCCAGTTCATCCAAAGTTACAGGAAGGTTATATTCAGATATATTTTCCTCGTCGAAGTCAATTCCCACTTCTTCTGCTTCATTTTTTTGTTGGATGAAGTTATCAGCATATCTTTCACTCCCACTATTTACTTTAAATCGTTGTGCCAAAGTATTCAAGTTTTCGTTCTTTTCCGATATTTCTTGGTTATTAACGATGAGGATAGAACTTGGTAGAGGCAATGATCTTCCACTTATAGCTCTTATCTTTGACCAAATTTCTGAAGTCAGGGTCTCAGAGGTTATTGAGAAAACATAATTTTTCCACGAGGCTTTTTTGCTGTTGAGTAAATTCTTTTTCGCATTAGCTCCACATTTTTTAAAGCGTATAAGGTTTTCTTGTGTAGGGTATCTTTTAAATATGTTAAGTACATGGTGTTTTTCCTTCAATGCTCATTCTAACCTATCATTCCACCAAGACACTCTGGGCTTTATATTAATGGGAGAGGTACTCTTATAGCCTGAAATAGGTATACTCACTTTATCAGAACAGATTCTTCAAAAGATTCTTTAAACTCAAGGGTTTTGATGTTTTCTTGGAACTTACTCCAATTTGCCTTTTTAATTTGCCATTTTTGGGAAGAATAGAAGTTTGAACATCGGGTGGCACATTTTTTTCTAATGGGCAGATGATCTGAGAACTGATCATCCATTGTTTCCCAACTAAACAGACGTGCAATTTCAGGACTGCACACTGTTAGATCTATAGCGCTAAGTTTAAGAGACCGGATATTTAGGAAGGTACCTGTTCCTGAGTTCAGAACTACCAGGTTATATTCGTTGATGATATCTTCTATAAGGGGGCCTCACATATCAAGTTTCTCTGATCCCCATAACGGGTTATGGGCGTTGAAGTCACCCAGTTTGAGAAAAAACTTGCCGCATTTGTCTTGATTCCCAGCTGAAGTCTGGGAGAAAGATGTTGCATATAGTTAGTTTAACTGGCTGGAAGATTTGTACTACGATTGTTTGCCATAATTGTGAGTCAACTATGATTTCATTAGCTGGGATAAATATATCGATTCAGAGGGACCACAGAGCGACACAACCGCCGCTTGAGACTTCTGGCTCTGAGGCAAGACTCAGTAGTATTCGAGAGATCGCTAATCAGTGGTTTGAAGAGCATGGAAGGATGGTGGCTATGCGTACGGTATATCGCCGAATACGACAGTTTGGCCTTTTTTCTTATCGCCCTCATTGGGTGCTACCTCTCACAGCTGAACATTGGCGTAATCGTTTGGGAATGCACGATGGTCGAGCAAAAGTGAGAAGGCGACGTGGTGAGAGATGTGACCCACAATTTGACAGAGAGCGTCACGTTCATCACACCGTTGGAGTTATGGTTTGGGGTGCTATTGCTTATGGTAGCAGATCACCACTTATCTTCATCAGAGGTAATATGACAGCTCGACGCTATATTCACGAAGTAGTGAAGTCTTATCTTATTCCATACTTAAACACCATCTAAAACCCGATTTTTCAGCATCAGCCGTTTACCTTGGCCACCGCGATCGCCTGACCTATTTCTAATTGAACATGTCTGGGACATGAAATGTCGCAGGCCCTTGAATTTGCAACACCCTCCACAGACTTTAGCAGCTCTTACTCACGAAGTTGTAGTAGTCTGGAAAGAGATACCCCACCAGGATATTGACCACCTTACCAGCACGATGCCCAGGCGTGTCAATGAGTGTATAAGAAATCGTGGATACGCAACACATTATTGAACCAGCTTCTGCAGTCAGTTGACGAATCAAGCTGAAAATTTAATCATTTTACTAGTAAGGGCCACTGAACATATGCCAAAAATTATTAAAATCGGATAAACATACGTCGGTGTTTACCTTTTCTATCACCCAGTATATTCAATAGTGATATCCGTTTGGTCTGCGATGTAACTCTTGACGCAGTGGATTCAAGTGCGAAATTTGAGTTGAGGTTTTGTCATCAGTGATCGTAAGATTAAGGCAGATAGCGGATTACAGCAACACACTTTTACTGGACGAGGTTGGTTGTTAGATGTTGTAGGACCAAGTATTGATACGCTCAGTACGTGTGCGCTTATTGCGGGATCCACAAGATCCATATCGCCCAGTACCGTGTTAGAGTCTCCTTGCTCATTATTTTCAGCAATGCCTTTGATTATAATATTTTGAGACCTTCTGAACCTCCCAAGTGTCTCAGAATGGGATAGTGATGCTAATTCAGATTGAGTTCATTGCTCAAGTTATATATATATATATATATATATATATCCTTTATATAATTTGCTATAATGGCAAGTTGGTTCAGAATAAGTGATAGCTGATCGGTAGCTGCAACAGAAGTGCCTGGAGCATCGTCACCTCAAGAAGAAGATCATGAGTTGCTACGTGTAGCGCGGCCTGATTTGCAGCAAGATGGACAGTTCCATTTTTCATTACCCTCAGTGAGAAAATTGATTTCATTCGCAGTTAGATTGACTCAGAAATCATGATAACTTTTTGAACACACCGAGCATGATATGTTTAAGTGCGCTGAGCTTCTAGACTTGTTGCATCTATTACAAGTTGGTGCCATTGCAATAAGTAATGCGTACAGAAAGGCGTAGGATGAGATAAGGATAAGACACGCTTCACTCTACTTGGGTCGATAAGAGAGACTTCTACACAGACAAGGCAGTCCACGGAAGGAAAATTTTGAATGTACTGACTCCTCTTCACAATCGGCGATTACAAATGATTACGCGCGAGCACGATCGTGTAGAGGGCATACTGGGCTGTGCGTGGCTGTACTCGCCGATCATCGTCTATGATCCCCTTCGACCCGTGAATTGTCGGTTCTTCGGACACGCATCAAAGGGAATCGCCGGGTCATATTGACGCTTGCCGTTTGAAAAACTACTACGGACACTCGTGTGGATGCTTGCCCGGTGATCGTGGCTATTATGAATGATCACATGATCAGCGATCATCGCCGATAGTGAAGTGCAGACATAAGGTGGAAACGAGTCTCGCGCAAATTTACATAGCGTATAAATCCAAACAAGAAGTAATGATACTGCTCAGGAGCACATCCGATTGATGCGAAAAATGTCACAATCGCACGTGCGGTAAGGCGCCGTATACAGCTGCGGAATTTCGTTCGACCAGAAATATACGTGCAAACAAAAAACTATCATATTATCAAATGCGGCTGACAACAGATACCTATGAACACGGTGCGATCACCTGAGTCTCAAGGTCGACCATGACAATTGCACTTGATTCACACACAAACTAATATAATGAATACGTAAAACACAGATATAACTCGAGAGAAATACGAAACACGTCCGCACAGAGCTGAATGAATGAATGAATCTTGAAATTAGAGGCATTCCAGCCCCCATACGGAGCCAGTGCATAGGCCGCTTAAGCGGGCCCTTATGCACCTCTACATTCCTTAGATCACAAGCCTCGCCCTTTTAGCGAAGTTTAGAATCGCCTTGAGTCCAAGCTCCTTGACGTCCTGAGGGTCCAAAGTAATGGACCCTAGTATAGAGTAGCTCAGAGCTTCACAGCGACACAAAACGTGCGCCGAGGTCTCTTCCTCTACCCCGCAGCGTTCACACAAGGAATCCTCAGCCACCCCTATCACGTGCAGGTGGCGCCTTAACGTGTTATGGCCAGACAACAGTCTCACCAGCAACCTTAGGTTGGCTCTATCCAGAAATAAACAGAAACGTCCATCCTTAGCACTGGGCCCTTCAATGAGTTTTCGTGCCTGGCGGAGATGTCTGGAGATACTTCTCCGTCTTGCAACCCACGTCTCCATTTTCCTCCTAGCTCTATGCGCGGTCACTCCTAGAGCTGGCTGGCTGATCCTGTCTTCGCCAGAGTGTCCGCCGTGTCATTGCCCCTTATCCCAGCGTGCCCCGGTACCCACATTAACGATACCGGATGCCTCGCTGCGCGGCAATTCAGAGCCTCCCTGCATTGCAATACAAGACTCGAAGTAATCTTACAGGCACTTAGTGCTTTCCTTGCAGCCTGGCTGTCGGTTAAGATTGTTATTCTTCTCCTAGGCCGACCCTCCTCCAGAATGTGAGATACACAAGCCAGAATGGCAAAGATTTTCGCCTGGAAAATAGTGGTGTATCCACCGAGAGGCAGAGATAGCTTAGTTCTAGGCCCAGAGTCCCCAGCACCTGAGCCCTCTTCGGTGACCGAGACGTCCGTCTACCAGACTTGCCCGCTCACTCCGGAGAGTCTCCGGCTACCGGCGTCCCACTCCTCCCTCGTTGGATACTCCACAATAAACGCGGTTGAAGCGATATTTAGGGGTAATACGATCACCCCTGCTTAGAAGGATGGGGCCCTCTCTTTGCAATTCGACTAAGATGGCAGTATGCCCCTTGACAGGATTCAAGAAAGCCCAGCTGCCCTGACTCCACAGTCAATGAGAGACTACTCTCGCTTCACCGCGTATCACCAGATCCAACGGTGGGAGATCCAACAGAGCTTCCATTGCACTCAATGGCGTTGTTTGCACTGCGCTTGAAATGCTTATTCAGGCCAAACGCTGAATTTTATTGAGTCTGGCCTTAGTTGTCTCAGTTCTAATGCAAGGCCACCAGACCAGGGAGCCGTACAAGAGAGATGGACGTACTATCGTCGTGTAGAGCCAGTATACCACTTTGGGTTTAAGCCCTCACCTTACACCCACAACACGTCTACAGGCCCACATTGAATTGCATTGCGAGCCTTGCTAACCTTGCATTCAACATGCTCTCTCCAGTTCAGTTTGCAATCCAGGATAATTTCCAGATATTTCACTGATTGGGATAGATTTAATCTAGTTCCAAAGAAGGTCGGCATGACCAGCCCGTCAAGCCTTCTTTTCCTAGTGAATAGGATCAGCTCGGTCTTTCCGCCATTAACAGAAAGATCGACTTCCCTGCACTACGATTTCACAGAGGGCAGAGCGCCCTGCATAATTTTAGAGACTGTTCTACGAAAACGACACCTAACTACTATGCTTAAGTCATCAGCATAGGCTTGCACGTAGGCACCCATACTGCTGAGCCCAACGAGGAGGTAAAGGTATTTGCCTGTATTTAATGAAATATTTTATTTAGATTTGACAGTATATTTGGATACTATTTGGAATTTAAAACAACAAATTGCATTTTACTGAATCATGTGTATTACAATTGTGCTCTGATTAAACTAAGATGTCAAAATTTGGAAAACTCGATATTGATTATTGATATTTTCAAATCAAAATGCTTCAAAATGTTCTAACCCTAACATATTTTATTTAGATTTAACAGTATATTTGGATAATATTTGGAATTTAAAACAACAAATTGCATTTTACCATATAACGTGTATTACAATTGTGCTCTGATCAAACTAAGGTGTCAAAATTTGGAAAACTCGATATTGATATGTTGAAATGCTTCAAAATTTTCTAACCCTAACAAGATCGGATTTTTTTTCATTGATTGTGGACTTGTTATATATGGAATCTAATTTTACCAATTATTTGTCTAATGGTCACCATTCAGTAGAAACAATTCCTAGTTTTAAACTTAAAATAATGTCACTTGGTGATGTGTACAAAAATTGTACTTTTATTTCTAATAATAAAACAATATTGCACTCACACGCATTCATACATTAAGAAAAATCGACATCACTTTAAACAGACTAGGATATTTTCAAATACTACAAAGTCTGCACCAACAGCAGGCTCCACTTCCTATATATACGTTATACAATATACATACTGAATCCATCAGTTGTAATCAAATCATTTTATTAATGTTGTTACATCGCTTACCCAACAATCTTGTATCGTAGAACTATAAGTACATCTAAAAAATGTCTATGCATCGTTATCCAGAACGAGGAAATATCCTAACCATGGTTATGGTTCACTCTGCTCCTCATGCCCTATGCTTGATCACCATAATTCAGCTGCTTCACAGCTACAACACCAACAACGGTAACATTCGAATATGTAGCTCGTCACCGAAATCACAAATGAAACTAGAGTTCGGAGCGCGTCTCCAAGTCGTGCCAAGTACGCGATTCAAATAAACAGTTCAACTGTTTTTATTAGAATTCTTTCTTGCTTTAAATGTACCTTTTCTACATAAAATAAATTACCTAAACTAATTATCCAGTTCAATAAAACAGGTAGGTACATGGTTATTTTCAAGCAAATTAGTTTAATAAGCTTTTAATAAAACTGGTTCCAGAATATTGAGTCGAATTAAATCGAATAAATTAGTTGCTTAGAATAATTAAAATTAGATGGTAAAAGTATGAATGTTAGTGATGAGTAGAATGTTATTGATTTTGATTGATTGATTTTTCATGTCTACAAAAGAGATCGTTGAGTAATTATTTTTGATGTTTTGGAATACACATTGAATTTTGATTGTATCTTGTTCTGTAGTTGTTACGTTTCAAGTGTTTCGAATGTTTAATATAATGTTCTAGACCACTACAAAAATAAATATGCTGCAATCTAGTAGTGAGCCTCTAATATAGAGAATGACTTGTACAAGTAACCTTATGGATGATCAACTTTAGAATTAATTTTTAATATTCTATTTAACATCAATCTTTTTGTAATTATTATTCATCTCCCCCAATCCAAAATTCTGTAAAGTAGTCAGACAGCAGCGGTGGCCGCAGTAGTAGACTCTTCGGTCTCCTGATCAGTCGCCGTGCGCTGTGCGGGTTCGAATCCCGCCCCAGGAGAAATTTTTCTCTTGGCTATGTATGTTGTGATTGTCCATAGGTGGTAGACGGTCTCTGACTGTCGAACGCGGATGTACCACCCGGCGGATCTCGTAGGCGGAGCCAGAATGTGTGCATGTTGCATGCACACGTGTTCCCTCGCCAGAGTCCGTATGGCGTTCCCCCTTTCCTCTGTATCCCCCTATAGCCCCACGGTACACAACGGGTGTTTAGGCCTTAGGCCTTCGTGGTAGTTGGAGTATACAAAAAAAGAGGATAAAGATTGTATAGATATTGTTTACCCAGAATATCTCTGAAGTATCTGAATCTTGGAATAATACAATTCAGACTCTTCACCAGGTACTCTGTACAATTCAAGTGTTTGTCCAAAATTACGCATAAGTATTTTAGTTTATCGTTTGACTGAGTCTCTTTGAGATTCTTCTATGAAATTCAAACTTACAAGAGAATGGTGTAGAGTGTTTTTTTGTAAATTGATTGTCATCGTTCTATCTGAAAAGGAATTAATAAACGTTCTGAAATCATTTTAGATTTTGGTTTTTAGTGTATGCCACTGGTTACTTTCATAGAGAATAGCGTATTATCCGCAAAACCGATAACTTTACTGGCACTACTTATTTTGAACAAATCATTGATAAATAGATATATATATATATATATATATATATATATATATATATATATAGAATAGATAAAATGGGCCCTATTACTGTACCTTTGGGTACACCGTACGATACGATATGGGGTTCACTAAATGTATTATTAATTTTTACGCACTGTGTATGATTTGAGAAATAGCTTTTCATAAGTTCGCATGTTACGCCACGAAAACCTAAATTTTGTAGTTGTTGAAAACGATTTATGAGTAATACAGTCGAATGCATTTGACAAGTCAACAAAAACACATGCAGTTGGTTTGCCAATGTAGAGATTCTCATACTGTTATGTTATTTGTTAATTCGACAATAGCATCTTGAGTAGATTTGCCTTCTTGAAAACCATATTGGTGTTCCGCAATTAATTCATATTTTTGCAAATTCGATGAATCGCCTTTTAACTTTTTCAAATATTTTAGGAACATGGAAATTGGTCGATAGTTACTGGGTTTTGCTCTTTCTCCAGATTTAAATAATGGTTTTACCATAGCGTTTTTCAAACATGAAGGGAATATTCCTTTATTCACGTATGAATTTAACAAATATGCCAGTATGTCGGAGATGTTGGAATTTATTCTCTTGAGAGTATATGCTGCTATATTATCTAGGTCTGGAGATTTCCTTAATTTTAATTAATTGATCATTGCCTTCATTTCGTGCGTATCGGTCGGTTCTAGATATAATGAGTTACATAATCTAGTCCTATTAAAATTAAATTTTCCGCGTTTTTCATGTTTTCTGCAAAATTTTTCACGATTATTGAAAAATATTTACAAAATTTATTTGCTATTTTCTACGTCACTACTCACTAAATCACCTTTTTCTTGTTCTGTTGTACTAATTTTGTTGTTTTGCTTTTTGTCTTGTATTTTATTGGATGAACAATTTCGTAGATTATCAAATTCTTACTAGAGATATTGTATGTTAGACCCTTTAATTATTTTTGTCAGTCTGTCGATATGATTCAAATTCATTCAAAAGATTCAAGACGAAGGACATTCTTTAGTTTCCTTATATAATTAAATTTTTTTGCTGATGGAGGTAATCGTTTTTGATATCCATGTTTGTCTTTTTGTTTGCGTGCGTGGAATCTTTACTGTGTTGGTGAATTCAGCTTGATATAAAAAGAGCAAATGCATTTTCCATATAAGGTTAATTATATACTACAATCCAATTTTCATTAAGCAAGCTGTTGCTTAGTTTTTCATAATCAATGTAAATTTTTGTATTATTTCCTGTTGATCTAGAAGGCGATCCACTGTCACGGTCCTCACAGACGCCGCCAAGCGGCTTGTGCGGTCGTGGTCCGCGTAAAAGTAGAGATCGGCCACTAAGCTCTGGCGAGTAGGAGACTCACCCAACAGATGGCGTCTATTTGTCACAATATGATATACAGGATGTTAGGGAAATAATGTTCGTAACTTTAAGAAGTGATTCCTTCCATTATTCTGAGCAAAAAAGTTCATTATAACTTATGTCCGGAAATCAATCGTTTTCGAGGAAAGTGAGTCGTAAATAAAGGAATTTCTCAAACATTTGGCAACGCTGCAACGCAACCGCGATACGAGCGCACGACGAGAAGAAAAAAAAACAACATCCGTAAATCTCATAAAGTTTCAGTCAAATGTATTAGTAATCACAACAACGCGCGATGATACATGCAGTGCAGGCGGAGTACGACGTTGCCAGTTGCGTGAGGGGATTTTGTCTGTTTTTCTTTGGAAAATTGTATTTAAGCAAGAAAATTATTTTGTTAGAGATAGTTGATTAATAAATAGATTTATTGACACATTTTACGCTATTAGGCATATGAATTTAAATTATTAAGGCACAAAATTAATTTATTTCATGACTAAAAAGAAATAAGCTTAGCATTTTTTTGCTCCGAAACGGTTGATTTTCGGACATAGGTTATAATGAACTTTTTTGCTTACAATAATGCAAGGAATCACCTCTTAAAGTTACGAATATTATTTCCCTAATACCCTGTATACAGCCAGCCTTTATTTTTTCCAGATGCCCAGCCAGGAAGGGTACAAATACGAGTATACAGAGGCCCTTCTCCATCGGAACGCCATTTCGCCCCATGGGGATTTTGGGTTAAGCAACCGAGCGCTGATATTGCTTGAGCTTTTTTATACAACCACAACGACTACGATTTGTGATGTTTTCATACATTATTTATTGAGTACAAATGGATATGCTAGGAATAATGTACATTTGTAAGCAACACTTTAGGGATGCGACTATGAGTGGGATCGTAAGCTGAAGAAATAAATATTTAAATCCAAGATTTGCTTGTTTTTCTGCGGGTAATCTTACTTCTAAGCATTGTGTATCTGGCAGTACTTTATCAGTGCCATCTTGTTGGCGTATTGATCCACATTTCAAAAGTGAGGTACATGTACAGCTTAGATAACATTCAGCCTTGAAACTCTCCTGTCACTGTCAAAAACGGCCATCATTTCGGCGGAGAAAGTCGAATGTAAATTCCCCCAGTACAACGATGAAAGAGGTTTTAGTGCTCAACAGCAGCCAGTGTTGTCACGTCCCCGCCAGCGGCCGCAGATATTATTTGCAATCGCAAAGACTGTACTATTCCGGTATGATCTGGTGCAGTTTGTGTGAACAAATAATAGTAAGTGATAGTTTGTCCAAAAAGAAGCGCCGAAGTATTGATGACTATTCATTTATCAGAGTTTTAAAATAAATTCGTATTGGAGGAAGTATTTACAATAAAAAAGAATTACTTTTGTCATGCACGACGAGTTTTTAATGTGTAAGCGTCTGGTAGATCCGATAGTTTAAATAGGCAGTTATATAAATGGTAGTCACGTACACACTCCTTATTTCGAAAATAAAATATGCCGTTCTCCACAAGCTGTGAGTGAAGAATAAAAAAATATCCATGCAAAATGGTTTAGTGTTGCTGATGAACAACGTATCTGGAATCTCTCATTTAAATGTTCATGTGCTCGCGTTTTCCCGTGAAAAAAACACCGAAATTCTTGATTGAGTGAAGGTTGTATTTGTCTGGTGTTTTTAGCAGTGCTTGCATTGAAAATGCAATGGACTGATTATATCGCAGCAGCTTGAATACATTGAAAAAGTAATTTTCGGTGTATTTGAAATACCTCCACCATTACAAATTTATTTTGAAGCTTTTCCATAAATAGTTAGACGTCGCTTCTTTTTGGATAAACATAGTCCTTTTTATTATTGATTCATACAAACTACACTAGATCATATCAGAATATTATCATTTTACGATTGCAAAGAATATCTGCGGCCGCTGGCATGATACGTGGCAACATAGACTGCTGCTGAGCACTAAAATTATTTTTCATCGTTGTACTAAGGGAATTCACATACAATTTTCTCCGCCGAAATGGCGGCCGTTTTTGACACTAACAGAAGAGTTTCATAGCTGTTTGTTATCTAAGCTGGGGGTACCGGTATAGGTATAAAGGGTGGTCCATTTAATTTTTTTTTTTAAAAATGCTATAAAAAAACTACTAAATATTTTTCCAAATTTTTTTTTTTTATTTGAAAGTACAATCCTTCCGATTAAGTATGGAATACAACATCATTTAAATGACTGCCGCGGCTGGCTTTGCAGTAGCCCATACGGTCAGTCCAATTTTTGACCACATTTTCAATCGTATGTGGCTGTATTTCAGCAATGGCAGCGCGTATGTTCTCTTTTATTTCGCCAATTGTTGCTGGTTTGTTGGCATAACATTGGTCTTTAATGGCACCCCATAAATAATAATCTAATGGGGTCAAATCACAGCTCCGAGGCGGCCAAACAACATCAGAATTTCGGCTGATAATGCGATCACCGAAAACACTTCGCAGAAGAGCAATCGTAGCGTTTGCTGTGTGACACGGAGCACCGTCTTGTTGAAACCAGATGTTACCGACATCAATATCTTGAATTTGTGGAAAGAAAAATTCATTTATCATGGTACGGTAACGATCACCATTCACAGTAACTGCTGCTCCGGCTTCATTTTCAAAGAAAAATGGGCCAATGATGCCACCAGCCCAAAATCCGCACCAAACAGTCACTCGTTCTGGATGCATTGGCTTTTCTTCGATTGCGTGTGGGTTCTCTGAACCCCAAATGCGGCAGTTTTGCTTATTAACATAGCCGCCAAGATAAAAATGCGCTTCATCTGAAAAGATGATTTTTCGACCAAAATCTACATCTTCATCAAGTTGATTGCAGGCCCATGAAGCGAAGCGAAAACGCATTGGATGGTCAGTTGGCTTCAATTGCTGAACCAATTGAACTTTGTACGCCTTCATACCAAGGTCTTTATGCAAAATTCGACCTAATGATGTGCGTGAAATGTTCAATTGTAGAGAACGTTGGCGCGTTGATGTGCTTGGAGACTCTGCCACACTCTCAGCTACAGCATCGATATTCTCGGGTGTACCCACCGTTTTCGGTCTTTCACGTGTTGGTTTGTCAATAAGAAGACCAGTTTCACGAACTTTTTGCACAAAATACCTCACATATGGTGCTGACGGTGCTTCATTTCTTCCCATTTTTGCACGTAATTTTCGGACACAATCTGCAACATTACCACCACTTTCGAAATATTGTTTTAATATTTCCCAGCGTTTTTCAAGCGAATACACAACCATTTTCGTTAATCGGAATGATATGACTGATGTTCTGTCAAATCAGATGCGAAATAAGTCTTGACATATCCCAAAAAACCAGTAACTCAAAAAAAAAAACGATAGATGGACCACCCGTATATACATACAGGTATTTATCTTTTTATTATGTACAATATCAAGGTGGACTTAGTAGATGATGATTGATGTAGAGGATGGGATGAACTGAATGGAAATGATTGGCTAAAAAAATCTTTATTTACATTTGCTGTTCATAGTAACATTTCATCGTTATGTTCCTTAACATACATATCAAATACTTAGGCTATATTCTTCAAATTTATATACAATATAATTATCTCCAATTCGGCAATATGATATCAAGTAGAAATAAAGTTATTTAGTACCCAAGAAAGAGAACACAAGCATACATATATTATAATGTATACATTTCATTTATTAATATGAAAAACTATACAATCATTGATACAAGATATCATCAATGATCGACATACGGCATTTCAACAAATATGCTCGATTTAAGATTTTTAGCCAGTTGCGGCTTTGGACACCATTCAAATTCAGTTCTGAATACAGTAATTCAAAGAATATACAATTATAGATTCGAAAGATAGACTTGATCAATTTTCTGATGGAACGGACAATGAACTCATAGATACTATTAGTTGTTTTAAATCCTTGGAGGTTTAAGGTCAACTGGATTGCGTTATACATGACTTGACCAAGCGACAAAAAGGTATTTTTTCAGGACGATGAAAAAACTTTAACAACACATTAAACATCATTTGTATGATTGTGTTAGACATTTTTTGTTCTGTGAATAGAAGCTGCTATTACAAATTCATGTGATTATTTTTTCAATAAGCCTTATTCCTGAAATTTCATGAAATTAAATGGCGCTTGGTAAAGTAATGCTTTCAAGTGAAGCTCATTTTCTCTTTTAATCAGTGACCACAACATATAAATGTTATTTGATCATGTTTTGCAAAATCAGGAATACATTACAGAAAGATTATTTTTTATATTGTAGTAATTAGCATCATTTTTATTGAAAAAGTAAAAATACACCGAAGTTAAAACATTTCTAAAACCAAACGAATATTCGCTTGAATAACAACTTCTGTATTCCTAAACTCAATTATTTTCTCATATAAAAATTAAATAAAACAGAACGAAAAATAGCCACACATTTTAGAATGGAATGAAGAACCTGAATTAAAAGGTTTGTATTATTCATGCTCAAGTTCTCTCAAAATCTGATTGACCATTAAACTCATCTTCGGTGAGGTTCAAATTTGGCTGATATAATGTGTACGAGAGAGAAGCGCTAGAAGCGTCCAATATGAATGAAAGAAAGAGTGCGCCCATTGCGTTCGTGGCCTCGTCACTCGGGTTGCTAGGCAACGAGATGTTTCTATCTCTTTCTAACTCACGCCTTGCACGTTTCTCGCGCTTCCCTCTCGTACACATTATGGTGTCAGTGGTATATGGTTTACAGCGTATATCGCTATATAACTTCTTGGCATCCTTGAGCATAAGTTATATTGATCTCTTTAGAGTCAGCTCCAAAATTAGTTTTAACATGAATACAAAAAAGCTTATCTTGATTTCTCTAATTTTGAGCCAAGCTTTCACTCTTCAGTCTACATTGCTTTTCAGAAAGGTACCCCCTACTTGAACTGTCAACTTAACAAGCTGCAATTCGAGATGATACATTTGACGCATGGATACTATATTTGAACGTAAAAATAACGATAATTTCAAGACGGCGGCTGGGCTCTACTGACTGTAGCTTGCTCCTAAAATTATTGATTCATTTTGACGCATCTGTAAACCGGAATCTTACCTCAGAAATCTTCAAGATTGCTTAAGAGTAAGAGGCAGTTTTAAAGCATTTTAAAGAGCGTTCTGTATCTTTTGAGTACCTGAAGGAAGCTGTAGCTGTCGCACACCGCTATCTCATACATTTTCCTCACATTCTTTGCCTTCCCGCCTAGGGTGACTAACAGCCAATTTTATGTAGATTGGCCACTTCATGCAAGGCGTTGGAAGTTGCAAAATAAGTAACATCAAATATACGTTTGGTATTTAGCTTAAACTATTTTTGTTCTTGAATACCAGGTCTCTATGGTGCTTGCATTTTTTATAAGTACATTGAGTATCTGCGCTATTGCAGTAAAATTTTGGTCAAGTTATGCATAACGTAGCCGAATTGCAAGATGGTTAATACATTAGTTGGTGCGAAATGCTATGGAAAAGTCTCTTTTAAAATAATGGCAACACTGACAGAATCGCGCCGCACCAACAAATGAGAAAGTTACTTAAGTTCCAAGTACGTGTCGTGCATAGGATGCCACAATGTTCAAAAATATTAAAGCAATAATTGTCGACTAGATCATACGAGGGAAAATTTCCAAGCGTTTGCCCCTAAACTCGAAATTTTCTCGAGGGTTTCGCGCGAGTTTTTGGATTTAAAAATACCACAGGTATATCGCACCTCATCATTCAAAGCATGAATCAACTGAAATTCCACCAGACTAGATTTTCCTCGCAATTTAATAACACCTATATCTGTATATTATCCTGCCGTAATTCACCAGTATAAACATATACTGCCAGTATATCACAATTTGACTAGCTTTGGTCTTTATATACATACTATTCACAAATATTCCTCGAAGAAGTCTACTGTTCTGTGCTGAAATAAGAGTTTTGCATTAGGTACAACTTGTCGATGGGGTTCGCGATACTTCCAGGTGCCGGTACAGCCTCGTGATGTGGCTGTGTCTGCAGTTCCATGTTTTGAAGTGATAGCGTATCTGAAGTGGCTTCGTCCAGATGCTCGAAATTCGTACTGTCATCTTGTGAGATGTCCGAGCTACAGAAGCTCTCACCAGAGTTTGCAGGGTAATTATCTGAGGAATAAAATAAATAAGCTGAATATTTTCCTTTTGATCTACCCTGGGTGATACAGTAGACCCTTTGAAATAGACATGCGTAATACCATTCGAAAGATGTCTTGTAGATTGATGCTGAAAAATTTCCATGTTTTTCTGGCCGCCAATTGAAACCACATATGCTGGGTTGACTGTTTATTTACACCGATGTGGTCTTTTAAAAAGTAGAAATCAATTGGCAATTACAATAGATTTTTTCACTACTAACCCAAGAAATCGCCACTATTGACCGCAAAAAAAACAAAAAAATGTCTTTGAAAGTGTATCAATTTCATAGTTTCAGATTGACAACTGAACCTTATTTTGCAAAGTGCTTCAGAACAATTGAGAAATAAGTAATTTTGACGTTAACAAAAATATATATATATATATATATATATATATACACAGGGTGACTTTGAAGTTGAGTCATTAATTTTCAGATAATGATTGTAGAAGGAAGATAAACCAAAATATGTGTGTAAAAATAAAAAAAAAATTAAAAAAAATGTTTACCTTGTTTTATAAAGTATCCTCCCGACAAGTATTTCTGTGAGGTCTTAAGTCACCTGATTCACGAGCCCGTTGTACTACATTAACAAAGGCACGAGGGGTTGGTTGCACTCGATTGGGAAACCGATCCGCATAAACATGTGCCATTTTTTATTTCGTTTGAGCCACGCAACAGACACTATTCACACGCAGTACCGACTGACACTGACTGTATGTATAACTGAACTGAATAAAATAATTGTAAAAACATCTTCCAAATTCTTTCGCTTTTTTGTTTCCGATGCGTTGAACCGATAAGGCGGATTATATCCGTTGTTGCCAAACACAGGGCGGTACTCAAACTTCCAAAGGGCTATAACTTTGTTACTTTAATTTTACCAGAAAAATGGTAAAGGAAAAAAACATTTCTTTTGATCAGATCTACTCACTGTTAAAATAAATGACTCAACTTCGAAGTCACCCTGTATATATATATTTGTACCTTACCCTTGGATGAACCAATTCAAAACAAATCGGCTGTATGTTGCATTCAACAATAAATTCGTCTCTCACCATTGGGATCTCGGAAACCGAAAGACTCGGTTTTTCAAAGTCTGGTTACCTTTAAAGTCAGGTAACTATGACTTGGAAGCTATCTATCAGTTATCTTTGAATTTGTTTCTCAAGTTGTAGTGGTTGTAGTTAGCAATCGTTAATCAAATTCAAGCGAATATTTTGCATTGGTATTTACCGATCCGTTCATGCGAGTGTGGTTATCAGTTTGGTTATAAGATCCGTGACGTCATGAATCAGCTGTTATATGTCATAGTTATCACCGCAAAATTGTGGTATTTACCCAACTCAGGAGTAGTTTTATATTTCTGGTTATTATTTGAAATGTGACAAGTTAGAATTTTGTCGAGTATTGGATATTTTTGTTGTACTTCAGCTTCATTTTTGGGAAACTTGAGTTGTAGCATAAAGTAGAGCACCTTATTAGTTATACTCATTACTGTTGTTGGGGACACTTTAAATCTAGTCCCTATGGTTAACAAAGTATCCTGTGTAGCCATATACAAGAATATTAAAATATGGCCATATCAACTCACTGGATAATGTCTACCTGTATACGGTTTTGCTAATATATTTTTTCATCGCTTTTTCCTTCATTTCTGCTAAATCAATAAATGTTTTCTTTAATATGCGGAAAAGCTTAGAGAATTGAAAGTTATCATAGCTACAAAGCCATGGTTCCATCATTAAAAATTATTTTCTGAAAAAAATAAACATTTCTCCCATTAATATTATGAAAGGTTTCTTTTTTAAACTTTCCATACACTGTTGCAGAAGAAAAAGCACCGCTTATTAAGTGATAATAAAAATAATCAGAAATTATATACGAGCTTTTCTAAAATAAAAAACTTCCAACAAAACCGCGGTGAAAACCAACGCGTTCACGCGATTCGAGTAACTGACGTCATCAGCCCGTGTGTCATCTTAAACCATAATTATAACATAACACCGAAATTTTGGTTATTCGCTTGGATTTGCTTATTAATCCGTTGATGCAGTTTCGCTGTTTTTATGCCTGACTTATTGTGTTTTATGCGTTTCGTGATTTTCGGTGTTTGTGTCTTGTGTGACAACTTAGGTTAGCCATTGCGGCTTGACCACAACTTTACAGTAATCATGTACATGGTCCTCTGACCTGCTTTCTAGTGGTTTTTGGATTGACGGTACTGCTCCAGACAGAATATATGAGAATACAACGTGCAGTGAAACGGCATTGATGCTGAACACTACTGAGTTACTCCGAGTTACCCAGAGTAACTCAACAGGCCAACTGGAAATACTGGAATGCAGCTCTGGCTGAAGTTGACATTTGCTTTGTTCGTACAGCCTGTTTGCTGACAATCAGCAAACTGATAGTCGGCGACCAGTCATTGCATAGTTTTCTCAGTTAGCTGCCACTGTGACGTCGCTATCTGTAAGGGTTGTGTACGTGAGAACGTACCGAGTTGGCTGAGGGAGGTCATACCGATTACCGACAACTAATCCGCTGTTCGTACAGAAACTTCTGACTGCTTGATGACTGTCAAATTAGTCAGCAGATAATAACAGCAATCAAAAATGTCAAGTAGATTTACTCAGTAATTCCCATTCAATTTTCATATAAAATGTATAAACATAAATTCGTAGAAATGTGATTCCACACATCGAATGACAAGTTGAAGAAGTAAATAAATACATAGTAAGAATTCTGAATAAACGTCTGCAGTGATTATGCATGAGAAATATATTGTGAATGACTTTTAATAAATCTGAGATAGTAGGGTTTTTGTTCCCTGTTCCCTTGTCGCCCAGCTTCGAAGTGTATGCACAAACAGTATTTATATGTATATCTAGCTATTTCGATCCTCACCATTGGGATCGCGGAAACTTCAAGGGATACGAAGTCGCTTAAATAGGGACAAAGTTGCGTATTCAGATAATCAGCAAAACGTCGCTTAGAAAGTTTTGAAATTAAAAGTACTTCCGGAAAGAGACGTAAAAAACGAAATTTCTCCTGACTTTATTTGTGGTGGGATTTCAAAATAAATTGCACATAAACTCTGCCACATTTTCTCCTCTACAAGACGGCACAATTAGAATTTCAATATGACGTTTCGTCTCTTGTCCTCCAGCATCAACTTAATTTTTTCTTATAGACGCCATATTGGGTTCTTACACACATGAATAAAATTTTTATTCTGATTCAAAAAATGTATATGTATATATATACAGGGTTATCCAAATTAAGTGTCCACCATTAGTAACTTTGTTATTAGTGAAAATACAAAGTTGTTTGAATTAGCAAACTAGTAGCATTTTTAACGCTGGTAAAAATGAGAAATAAAAAAAAACAATTGAGAGTCGTTATTTTGATTTTTTTCAGTAAAATAACATTTTTTTAAATGGAAAACCCTGTATATTATATTTTTTCTGTTAAAGCATCAAATTTTAAACAAAAAAGCTTACAATAACTTTTCTCCTAGGTTACAAATTGTTGAAGTTATGGCCTCCAATCTGAAACAATTAAATTGTATCGACAAACTTTATTTTCAACATCAACTTATAATCTTACAAAATACAATAACAATTTTTTTTAAAGAAGATGCTCGAAAACACCACCTTGTTCTTCAATTCATTTTTGGGCACGTTTTTCAACTGCTCGAACTGTCTTAAGTATGGTCCTACCATCTATCTGGGTTATCTTTTCCCTAACTGCAGTCTTTAACGCGTCAAGGTTATCGTACCTTCGCTTGTAAATTTGGTTCTTTAAGTAACCCCACAAGAAGTAATCAAGTGGGTTTAGATCTGGTGATCTGGGAGGCCACTGTATTGGCCCATTTGTTCCTATCCACTGATCATTAAAAGTAGTACTTAGAAAATGATAAGTACCTCTGGAGTTGTGGGCAGGTGCGCCATCTTGCTGAAAATGCAGATGATGTCTACTTATAAGATCCAATTCGTCTAAGAAATTAGTCAGAATTTCTGACATAAATTCCACATATCTTTCAATAGTTAGGGTTCCCGCATAAAAGAACGGGCCAACAATTTTTGAACCAATTATACCGCACCAAACGTTGAAACTGAAACGGACTTGTGGGCCTCTTGGATGTACTAACAAAAGATTTTCTCTTGACCAATAATGGTGGTTTTTTCTATTAAACATTCCAGAATTTGAAAAATTTGATTCATCTGTCCATAAAAGGTAACGAAAGTTATTTACATTTTGGCGACAGAAGCTAAGATACCAATGGCAAAAAACAAGTCTTCTCTCTGGATCCCCTGCCAAAAGCGTTTGAACTGGTCGGTACTTATACGGAATAAATTTGTATTTTTTTAAAATCCTTTGAACAGTACCATAACTGAAATTAGAGTCCTTGAGAATATCTGCTATTGAATTCTCACGATAAGCTTCAAAATATCCAATAACTGCAATTTCCGTGGCCTCGCTTATTATGAATTCTTTTTTTGCCCTTGTTTTAGCAAAAACATTTTCGTTGCCCCTAAATTTTCGATAAAGTCTCAGAAAATATCGTTCATACGGTTGAATGTGAGCGGGATATAATTCACTGTAGGGGTCTCAAGGAGGATTTTCTGCACACTAAATAGCATTCTAACATATCACACTTTTCTTCATGGGAGAACATTTGTCTTTAAATTAATGACACAATAAAGCTTATAAACAAGTATTTACACTAATGTTTGACATTATTTGATTTTATCATTGTTTTCCAAAGCCTTCTAGTTGCGAGTATGTCCAGTTTAACAATTTGTCGCTTATCTTAATGCTGTCAAATCGCGAACGCCATGTTGTTTTCATAGCCGTCTTAATATTATAATACTGCAAATAATTAAAAATATTTATCGTTATTTTGACTTTATTTTTGACTTTAGCGGAAAAGTCATTATGAACTTTTTTGTTTAAAATTTGATGCTTT